TATTGAGCTCCTACTACCTCTATATCCCAGGCATTATTTTTTAAGAATACTTTTGGGGTAGGTTGTTTTTCCATGGTGTGGTATCTGAACCCAGGGTCTCATGCATGCTAGGCGAGTACTCTACCACTGAGCTATACTCCCAGCCCCATTATTTGCTTTCGAGAAAACTAAGGCCCAGGTGCATTAGAGAACTCACCAAGTACACACAGCCAGGAAGGGGTATACACAGCTTTCCCTGAGCAGTCTGGGTGTTTCCCTAGGCTCTGAACCACTTGGCAACCTGTCTTCTGACAGTTTGGGAGGCAAAGAAGAAACAGCAATGAACAATCGAGAGTCAGCCTCACATAACTGGTTTCAACAGCAGGAGGGACCAGGAGAGAGTGCATGGAGGAGGGGAGGGGGCTGAGCTGAACCTAAGGAAGAAAGGAGGACTTTGGATCCTGAGGACAGGGGAGGAAACTCCAGGCTTGGAGGACCACAGAATGAAGATGCTGGGGGGGAAAAAAAAGAATCACATAAAGATGAGACTGTCAGAACAAGAAGCCCTTGGGAGCTAAAGGTTTACACAAAGAGTGAACCAGAACACAGGCTGGAGCAGCAGCAACTCAGCAAGAACATCTTTTAGGATGGACCAAAGAGACTGGCATCAGTGAAGTCCAGCTCCTTTTTGTGGGAAAAATCCCCCTCCTTCCTGGGCCCACAAGGTTACAGAATGAACCCTCTGTTTGTACAGCAACGGGAGTGCAGGCACCCTGTTCTGAGCATTCCACTTCCTGCCTGTCCACATGCTGCACCTACCTTAAGAAGAAATTGTACAAGCACAGCCCTTGGCAGAGACGAGTCTTTAATTCTATAGACTCCTGAAGAGTTACGTGCTCATTCTCCAAGAGTAAATTTCTCTTCCAAATAAGCCCAGTGTGCAGAACAGTACCTGACACACACAGGCTCTCAGTAAACACCTGTTGAAAGTCAAGTTCACGGAGAGACCTGCATTCCTGAATCAAACATTACAGGGAGGAAATGAGGCTCAAAAACAAGAGATAACACCACCCACCCCCCTTGTATTGTATTCTCGTCTCAGATCACAGGTTGTTGCAATGAAGTTCCGTGGTATTTGCTAGTGGTCATAGGAATGGAGATTTCCGGTTCCATCTAGTGGAAATGACCTGTGTTCCGTACTGACCAATGGCATGCTCCATTGCAGAGGGACTTTGTGTATAGGATGCCCAGAGGAAGTGATGGGCTACTTTGTGAGCTGTAAGGATAGTTGGAAATTGGTTAATGGAAAGTCTTGTTCCCTGGGACGATCTGCCTGCTTCACAGCATTAATTTTAAAACAAACAACTAGGAATTGAAAACCAACGTTCTTTGAACATTGAGGCAACTTTGAAAACGTCTAAAACACAAACCTTCACAGTAGCCCAGGAGATGTCACCTCGATGATCTCCCATCCCCAAGCTCAAAGAACCTACTGTTGCACATGTCTGGAGGTTTCATGGGCTAATGCTGCCTGAGGTCAGAAGGTCCTTCCTGGTCTGGCCCACTGCCTCTCTGACCTCCCCTCCTACCCTTCTCTTCCTTGCTGTTCTGCATCTAATACACTTGTCACCTGTACCTCACAACTTACCCTCTTTGCTCAGGGCCATCTCCGTGGGGACATCTTTGGCCATTACAAAGGAATCACATTCCTCCCTCCACAGGTCACTCTTATTTTTCTTTATAGCACATGATGGATAATCTGGGTTTGACGCCTATCTGTCTCCTCTTATCCCCCATATGTAAGCTCCCTAGGAATGAGAAGGACCTTTTTTGATTAATTTTGCCCCAGTGTGTAGAACAGTCCCTAACACAGGCAATCAGGAAACCCCTGCTGAAAGATGGCTGAATGAGACACCACAGAGATGGGTTAGGAGCCTTTCCTAATAACCATTAGCTCCTCATGAGCCAGGACCCTGTGCCACTGAGAGTACAACTTTGAGTCTTAGCTGCCACAGAAGTCCTGCTCTGTATCTTTGTAGTGTAAAGAATCACCCAGGCAGATCCCTCTGCTTCCTTCTGAAAAAAATCTCAAACTTCAGTCTTACACTGGAACCACTCAAGGTAATCAAAGAACATCTGATGTCCCTGTGATTGATGACCTGATACAATGTACCACTCTCAATGCTCAGGGCCCGGGGCCTGCAAATGTCAATGGCCCCACTGTGTCAGGCAGCTGGCTGCTGGTGGCTCCACTTCACCCATCGCAACCTTGCAGCCAGCTAAGCCTCACTATGACCAAACAACCTTCAGAGCAGGTTCTGGATAATGAGCTACTGCCTGTGCGCCAAGGGCAGCCCTGGGAGCCTCCCTTTGATCAGGGACACCAAATGGCAGTCATACAAAACAGCACAGATGCATAAAAGCAGGCAGCATAGGGTTGGTGGAGGCTTCAAGAAATAACAAACAGGAAGGAGGTTAAGGGCATAGGTATGGATCATGTTGTGGAGGGGCCTAAGAAATAATTTTTTTTTTTTTTTTTTTTTTTAAGTAGAAAAGGATGAGGCTGGGCTGTGACATGGGGATGCCCTGGGCTCTGAGGACACAGATATGAATTCCTTGTCCCCACAGGCCGAGGCAGTGCAGCCACGTGGCTTCCCAGTTAAAGCCATCGGGGTGGGGCTGACATGTTCCAGGATGCCAGTTCCAATACAACATTTGCTGCTTCTGCCAACAGAAACATCAAACTCATTAATTAAACATCCACCAGCAGTCATTGGCTCCTTCACTGTGCTTTGCTGGTCTCATCAATCTTGCTCAGTGCAGAGCAGGCCCCTGGATACCTCTAGGAGGAAGCCAACTGTCTGATTATTCAGCATTTGTTAAGATTGGACACAGAGCCTTTAAAAAATATGAAGCCCTGACTAGGCACAGAAACAAAGCAAATCAGCCCCTCTACCTTTCCCCAACCACCAGAATAAAAAGTTGTAGTAGACCCTCAAGAAGAAAGAATGCTTACTTTTGCCGCCCCCCACCAACAACCCCTTCCTTGGAAAGATGATCCACTTAATGGATCATGGTGGTGTCTTGAGTCTTTGCAACTTAGGTTTTGCTTCTGTGTGGAGTCAGAGAAAGGGGCTCTGCTCTTTGCCTATTGTTCTCCTTGCAGAATACTTGCTTTCTTGCCAGTTTCAAGCTGTAGTTTTATTTAAGACCTAAGCCAATATACTCCTAGGAAATAGCAATTTTTTTTTTTTTTTAAAAAGAGAAGGCAGAAATCTGCTTTCTGTATTTTGCTCTGCCAAGGAAAATGTTCATGATACACTGTTTATGCCCCTTTGGATGGAGACCTGGATGTTTGAAAAGTGCTGGGAGTCTCCACATCGCACTGTTAAGCAGGAAACAGGGAATGCAGGGATGATGGGTCAGTGCAACCCAGGGAGACAGAGATAGGAGAGACCTTGGTTTTGTGGAGGTGAACAGACCTCCCAGGTGTCTACTCTGACTTAGATGCATGTGCAGGGAGTCGTCTTTCCTCCCAGGGTCACAAATCTCAAGTTCCCAGTTCTAATCTTGACCTCTTCTTTTTGCCTTTGGAGTCCACCTTCCTGTTTTTATTTACACAGAAGGGCTACCCACTCATCTGCTCCAAGCGTCAGCAGAGCACAAGTGCACAATCCATGGTTTGACGGTTACTGGCTTGTAGCCTGGTACCCATACTTCATCCTAAAGGAGGAAGCCCACTCCAGACCTCGTGGTGGGTAAGCTGGCAGGTGGTTTACCTGGGCAGAGGATTTTGTGATGCCTCAAAGCAACCCACTAGGAGGGTGTGCTGCCTGCACTGCCAAGCCCTGTGTCTGACATTCTTCTGGGCCTAATACCCATCTGGATCTCACTTCTGACCCTGGAAATCCCTGGCATCTGGGGGGAAGGCAAAGGCTGATGGTGCAGGAGTCATGCCTGGGGTGGGAAAATGTTGTAGACAAGTCCAGCATGAGCTGGCTCTGCAGGTTTCATCCAAAACAGAGTTGAGGTCCTCTATTCCTTCTAGAAGCCAAACACAACCTCACAGCATCAGCCAGTGCAAGTCCAGAGGGAGCCTTAGAGATGATCTGGAAGAACTTTCATACACACAGGTAATAGAGGCCAGTGAGGTTTCCTGCACATGCTTGACCATGAGGAAGTAGGGACGAGGTCAGTATTCTGAGGCCTGCTCCAGGGCCCTCTTTGTGTCAGCTCTCAATCCGCCCTAATTTTGAAATATAATGTAGGAACACTGAATCTCCCACTCCTTAGATTCCTAACCCAATGTGACTTCTCCAGTGATGAGTGCTAAGCATGTGAGTAATGTACTATTTCCCTGTGGCCTGTAGGTCACTACAGAGATGGGGAGTCAGCAGCTGTGTCCTAAGTCCATAGAGGGCTCTCTAGTGGCACTCTGGGACTTTCCTGGTTGGAACAGGTATCTTGGGACTAGAGAAGAGATTATTTGTGTCCTAATGTTTGGGGCTGCTGGGGAGATCCTAGGAAGTCTACTTCATAGGGAAGCATACCAAACAGCAGGGAAGGCTGGAACTGACTACATAAACTTGAGCAAATTCCCCAAAGCACAGTGACCTCTTATGGATGGGAAGTGACATCTAGAAGCTACCCCTAAGCCCTAGAGCAATCATGATCTCTGTAACAACTTTCTTGCCAACAGTATTAAGGCCTTAGCAGATCCAGAGAATAACTCTAGGCTGTAAGAGAGATACGTAAAGGCAGAGGTTGTGTATCCCTCTCAAGAGACACCAGGGTGTAGCCAATGGCAGAAGCTCAATCGACACTTGTTCAGTGAATGGGCACATCTGTCTGGCTTACCCAGAACCTGGCCACTTTCTGTATAAGCACAGAAAGATGGCTGGTCTGTGGGTATGAGCCCCATTAAAGCCATGGTGATTTCTCAGCTTGAAGAAGAAACGGTCTCTGAGGGGTGCTGCACTGGCCAGCCGGTCGCCAGCCCTGCCCTTCTGGCTCAGGCATACCTTTCTCAGCTCGTCCTTCTCCCTGCTGTGGGCATCCTCCAGGACCCTACGCTCTGAGTGGGCTCTCTGCAGCTCCGTGCGCAGGCTCTGCACCTCCTCCTGCAGCTGCAGGCTGGCATCGGCCACCTGGTTCTGCTGGTAATGCGCCAGCTCCCTCTTCAGCTTCTCCACCTCCATGGTGTGTATGGAGGTGACCGTAGACAGTTGCTCCGACAGGGTCTTGAACTCTTTGTTCTGTGGAGAATCAGAAAATGGGGAAAGGTAAGGAGGAGGGAAGAGAAAGACAGGGTTATTGGGCCAGGAAAGGCATAGTGAAGGCAATAGAAAAGTACTTCCAAGGTGGAATTAAACTTCACAATCGTTACATGCTCGAGTGCTCGCCTGCCATCTCCCTAACAAAACTCTACTGTGAGCCCAGGAGAAACAGAGGGAAGCAAACAATAGCAGCACTGGGATCAAAAAATAGTTCAAGGAGCTTTTATGAGCCCTCTCAGAGCTGGAAGCTGGCTGATGGCAGTTTGATTTCTCCTTTGGGTGGACAGATCCTTCCACCTGATTTGGAAGTTGCAGGAATGATGTAGCCGGCTCCCTGGATCTGCAGTCTTGGATTTTGAAGTTTCTCTGTCCTTTCACACCAAGCACTCCCGCCCTTGGACTTGCTGGCACAAAGCGCTGCAACCTAATCGCCAGCTCTGAGACAAAGGCCCCCTTTAGCATCCCTCTTCTAAGGGGCCTTGGGATCCCTCTTGCCACCTGTCAGGCTAGATTACCCGGGGTGCCTCTGAGTCGGGCGACTGATGCCTGGCAGAGTCTGCACCTGATGTGAGCCTGGCTCACTGGGTACCTGATCACCAACCCACTCACGTTTCCCTGTGTGCCTGGGACCCCGAGAACCTAGTGCAAGGGTCAAATCCAAGTGTAAATGAGGGGCAGAGTTGTGGCTGTCAGAATCGAGAGTAACAGCCCAAAGTAGTTAGTATGAAAGAGTAGTGGTGAGGAAGGAGGGCTCTCCAAATAAGCAGGCAACAGCAAATAGTCATCGATTATTCTTCATTGCTGTCCTCTGCAGGAGCATCAGGTAGAACAGATACTGGGTAAAATACCAATAAGCAAGGACAGTGGGAATCAATGATTAGTTTACATCAGAAATTAGACCTCACAAAAAGCAGTGAGGAAAAGTAAAAGAAAGGCCATTGGAGCCTGGACACCACCAGACATGCCGTGGGACTGCGGGGCTGGGGCGTCAGCAACAACTGTCCATGTGCATGCAGCAGGATGGGGTCCTCAACATGGTAGGAATGCCCTGGTACAACCTGCTCCCTATGACTGGTCTGGCTGTCAGCCTCATCCTGAGGAAAAAATTGGTGTCTATTTAGGAAGACCGTCCCTGCCTAAACTACCCTCCTGGGGGTTGTCAATGGAGGCTGAGAGTCTCTGCACAGTGGGGAAGGCAGGCTGGACTAGTTCCCTCTGACCTCTACTGTTCTGGGTTGGAAATAAGGCTTAGCTAATCTGTCACCTCCAGGTGGCATGTCCTGGGTCATATCACCAAAGGTGGTAAGGATGACAGGGCTAGGGTCCCTGGTGAAGGTTGGGCATGAAGAGAGGCATGCATGTGAAGGCAGCAGGGGGCACAGGCATGCCCTGCATTGCTGTGGACCTCAGCCACACAGCCTGCCTCTGGGAGGCCCAGCTCTCCTGATCCCGACACCGCCCAAGTCCAGGCTCAAGGATGTTGGGGTGACAAGCAGCTGAGGCTGGACAGATTGCTTGGAGCCCAGCTCTACCCTTGATCCTCCAGGAATGTACACTCCAACTTCCTCGCATGTAAATGGGTGTAAACCCACCTTGGAGGCTTGTCACCAAGATGTAGGGATAAAGCACTTAGCCCGCTGCCTGGATAACATCAATACACACTGGTGATCCTCACTGGCCAGGATTCTATAAGGAGCCCCTCAGAGAGGGGCTTGCAAGGCTCATGGGTGTGCATGGGGGAGTCCCTACAGCAGAGCCAGGGAAGTTCCTTATCTCATCCCACTGCATCTGAACACAACTCCTGAGGGTTCCGAGGCTGTGTGCCTTGTATTCTGAGTGTCTGGCTTCTGAAAGGAAGCCCCAGGAGGGGATGGCTTCCTGTTTGTCCTCAAGCCTACAGATGGCCTGGCTGTGCCCCAAGCCTAGCACCCCTCATGGGCCCCCTAAGCCCTCCCTGTGATGGGAGGCTAAGATCGCCAGTGCTGGTCTAGTCAGTGCTACTTGGAGACCCAGTCCTGCCCTGCACTAGTGAAGGCCTTTGCTGACATAAGGGGACAGGGCTCTGGAGAGTTCTAGGCAGACACTAGTCCTCCTAGGATGTCTTAAACATCCCAAATGGATGCTCACTCTGCTACTGCTGCTACTGAAGTACACAGGTGAGATCAGGCGAGATTTTGAAATGTCTCTGGTGATGGCAGGGCCTCTCCTGCCTGAGCAACATCTTTGTGTAATTGGAAGAAAGTACCACCCTCAAATGGGGGGACAGTTAACATCTTTGTGTAATTGGAAGAAAGTACCACCCTGGGGGGGGACAGTTTCCCCTGTGGGTGGGCACAGCCCCAGAGGTACACAGCTTGGAACAAAGGATGCTACTTCCAGGACAGGCTCATGGTCAGGTAAAGAACAGCAACTGAATTTCAGCCCTACTTGTCTTAAAACCAGGCCCCTTGTTCTGTGTACAACCAGAACTGTACAGAGTGATTCCCAATAAATGCTCATAGACTTGGGTTGGCAGGGGGAGTAAGCAGATTACTGTAAGACAGTCTGCTCAGTGAAAAGCAGCATGTCCCCCACACAACGGCTATCAGTGGTGGGTGCTTGCTTCAGGCTACACATTGCACTATGCTCACATATATAACTCATTCAAGCTTCACAACAAGTCCTATTTAGTATGGATTACTAACATTGCCCCCTACTTCTGACGCAAAGATCATAAAGCTGTAACTTATAACATGCACACAGTAACTGAATACCTATTAAGTATAATGAAATCAGACTGATTCAAAGGCTGACGATCTATAGATTAGTATTTTTTCCCCCATGTAAAATGGATTTAATACCACCTTATATTTATAAGTGTATAAGAAACTTGATCCCATTTAAAAATTGTAAGTTCAACTGACCAAGTTACTCTTCATATGTGCCGATATAAAGCCAGGCTTTTGGCAAAGTTCATGGGCTCCCTCATTTTGGCTGAATAATATCACATGAGACCTATACCAGGGGCACTGTAATAAACGGTCCCAGGAAATGTCACTATTTATTGCCGAAGGCTACTATGAAAACCATGGGAGAATGTCTCAGCACCACGGACAGCTCAAATTCTCCTAACCCTCTTCTCTTTCAGGGACTCTCAAAGGACTCTATGTCACTTGTTTGGGAACTTGGTGCTGAATCTGTCTTCCCTCTCCAGTTGGGGTGTAGTCTTAGGACAGGCATCTGGGATGCCACCTTAGCCTGGTTTTTCTCTTTCAGTCTCTGCCCTTGCCGACTCATGGCAGGGGTCGGGGTACTTGTTACAGGACTGTCTCCACTGACCTGGGCCTTGGTCCTCTTCCTCATGCTACTCTGACCAGTACCTTGGGACACCTTTGCCTTTGTCTTCCCTGACACATGCATGACTTCCTTCCAGCTTCGAACCTTGCCTATGTGTCAAGAGAGAAGCTGCCCGAATCTTTTCCAAGAATCACAAGAAAAGCAACTCATAGATTGCTGAACAGTTGGCCTCATCTGCTAATAAAACCAGCAGCTCTAGAGAGCTGGCAGTGAAGAGGATGCTGATGCCTTCTCTCACAGCAGGGTGGCAGGCACCCTGGACTCTGGGTCATCCCCTGACCCCACAGCACACACTGTAAATATCTGCCAGTCTTAAGGACAATGCTATCATATGAGCATGAACCCAAACCAAGGTTAGTGTCTCGCAGTGTGAGAGATCTAGCAATTTGGTCAGAGGTGGCAGACCATGCCCTGAAAGCAGCCCATCAGTGTCAATGCCACACAGGCTACTTACTAGCTGTATGTTACTTACATTCTCTGTGCCTCAATGTCCTCATCTTTGAAATAAATATATTAACATTGATCTCCTAGGATTGTGGTGTGGATTCACTAAGTTAGTATGTGAAAACAGTGCCCAACACGTAGGCAATATGGGTAGACACATGAGAAAGCAAGATCTCATCGCCCCTTGTGATCACCTGTGGCATGCAGGGCACCCTGCCCAGGTGACTAATGCTTGTCAGTATTCACAGATGTTTGTTAGCAGGAAACTTAAGCCAAAAAGCTTAAAAAAATTAAAAAAAGGCCTTTTAAATTTGCTTCTCTTTGATGTTCAAACACATGGATTGTAAAATTTAGATTTATTTTTATCCTTTGAAGTTGACTTCAGCAATCAGCAAGGTCAGTGTACAGCCCTATCTGGAACCTGAGGGTCAGAGTGGCCAGCAAGCACACAGGGATCCTGGCAGAGGCAGCATCAAAGCCTCCACGTCCCTCTAAGTGTACTTTGCCCAGAAGGTCAGCTGGGCAAACCGGGACTACTCCATGCCTTTTCTGGCCAGTCATCAACAACCCTTTCATTATCAAGCAAAACCAAAAGCCTGGTGTTCTTTGCACTTGTTTAATCCACATGGCCAAGGCCAGAGACCAGACCCTCTCCTCTGAGCAGGTGGGACTTCTTCCCTCACCTGGCCAATTGCTGCAGGCTGACCAGGGGCAGGGATCAAATGTAGCCCATCCTATACCTGGGCCTTCTGCCTTGATTCCTTACTAAGGAGCCAAGTGGAACAGGTACCTTGGAGAACCTAAACACAGAAAAGCACAGCCCTGGGGTAACACCTCTTCTCAGAAACCTGAAATACAGCACTGTCATCTAGGCACTGCATTGGGACAGCTGGTTTAGGTATAAAATGGCTTACTTATATTCTTGTTATTGGGGTCACAATAAGTTTTAGAAGTGTCCAGTATAGGATAGGTGCAGTAAAACCAAGTCACCTCCAAGGCCATGGCTGGTGGCCCCAACTTACTTTCTTTCTTCAGACCCCTATAGCATCACACTATGTCCTTTTCATCTCTCAGCAGTAGTGAAACCCTCCAGGGTGCTACAAGAGCCTGGGCCTGGGGTCACCTTGACACCCTTCAGGAGCCAGGTGATGGTGAGCCTCTTTTCCATACTCAGCAATGACTATAGGAGGAAAGAACCGATGACAGTGTTTGCAGTTAAAAAAAAAAAAACTAGTATTGCCCTCGTCATGGCTGTGAGCAGAACCTAGGTTGTAATACCTCCTAATTCTGTGGCCTGATCTGCAATTTCCCCACCTGTGAAATGACCTCAAGTGAAGTGAGGATTCAATGAGTGAAGACAGAGCACGCATCACAGACTGGCACAAGTGGTACCCAGCAAGTCATGATGGGGAGCCATGCCATGGGTCCTAATGCAGGAAGATTCTTTCCCATAGCACAGCATTCCACTTGTGCCAAAGTTATCCCTCGTCCACCTGAATCAAGGAGTTAGAGGGGAAGGAGGACAGACCACTTGGGCCACCCGAGAGTGGGTGTGTGCGTGTGCAAGCCTCATTCCAACCTGGATTTCGCCCAGGTGTATCTGCCCCCCAGGAGCATGTCCTGTGTTTGCCTTGAATCCCTCTTAGTACCACGCCCAGCACCCTTCCTGCAGGCTAACAATTCCTTGTTTGTTCAGCTGATGTGGGAAAGTGGCTTAAGCTTTCCTTAAGCAAAGAAGCTAAAACCTCCTGAAAGCAGTGGTTATTTCTGGAGTTGGGAGGACTCCAGGGCAGAATCCTGCTTGCAGCATTGCCAGTTCCTAGAGACTACCTGCTTTCCTTGGCTCCCGGCCTCCATTGCCCCTTCTCCATATTTACTCCCCTCAGTCTCACCACCCATCCTTCCTCCTCTCTGAGGACCCTTGTGCTCACATCAGCCCACCGGGAAAATCTAGAATCATTTCCCTATTGCAAGATCCTTAGGTCATTCACATCTGAGCAGCTCTTTTGCTCTGTGAAGCAACATTCACAGATCCCAGGGGTTTAGATGTGTGCGTCTTTGGGAGGCCATTGTTCTGCCTTCCATGGTCAGGAACTGTTCTTACTGGTGGGGAGATACCTCGAGGACTTCTAGGCTTCCTCAAGTCTCTGGCACATGTCATTTCCCGAGGAAGCTACGGGTCTCTCTCAAATATACCCTTGGTGCCCCACCCATCCTGACAATGGAGAAGGGAGCTCCTCACACTGACCTGGTCATCGATCTTCCGCTGCAGCTGGACCACCTTGTTCTCCATGCCCACATTGAGGCGTTTCAGGTGCTCTGCTGAGCGGGCCTCGATCTTGAGGGCCTTCAGTTCCTGCTTGGCCTTGAGCCTCCGGAAGGCACACTGGATGACGATGGCTGCAGCCCGCAGCCGCTGGAAATGCCTGCGTGTCATCCACCCCCGGGCGTGCTTCTGGATGATGGTGGCCTTGTGCTCCATGAGGACCTGGAGGGGAATGGCAGGCACACACCCCCTGTGGGTTTGTACCACAGGACAGAAGCAAGGGAAGCTCATGGAACCACCTGGATGATGAGGCTGAGGGGATAGGCTCCCAGCGTCTAAGGTATTGATGGCTGTTTTATGAATGAATTGTAGCCAGGCTCTGCAGCCCAAGTACCCAAGGGAATCAGCTGTCAGACTCTTATTTTAGCTTTATTGTGCTTTCTGTTTCCCTGCCTAGGGAGCCACAGTCTAAAAACCTCACCATTTGGGGGATTTAATGATTAGCCTATTGATCTCTCCCCATTTGACAGATGCAGATCCCGTCCTGGTGCAGGGGAACTAGAAGATAGAGTGTACCGTCCAGTGAGAGGTCCCAAAAGGTTATAAGTTATCTGGCTTATAAGTTAACTGCACATGAGTTAGTTTTTCTAACAAGTTAAAAGCCACTCAGAAAATCAAAGCATCAATGTTCTTGCCTTAATACCCTATAAAATATTGAGTTTACATACCCCGTGTCACAGCTGCAAGACACTCAGTGCTTGCTCCTTGCACGTGCTGCCCCCTACTGGTTACCTAAAAAATGTCACCTGCCCCTATCACAGATGCATCATTACACCATTATCAGTCACTCCAGAAGTCACGGAACCTTCTCCCATTGGCCTGGGACTCCATTATACCAGGTGCATCCACCATCACAGGGTCATGCTTGTTCTGTCATCACTGATTCAGTGTTTTAGGTTTATCATTTAGGAAAAAAACCCTCACACCTCTGATCATAGAAAGCACAAATATTCATTTTTAGGAAACAAACAATCTCGGGCACCTGCTTCCAACTTGACTTTCCCATTAGCATCGTGCTTTCAGCTGCACAGTTTTCTGGCTGAAGGAACGTGCTGATCGAGAGCTTCTGAACCCAGGATTTCAGCCTCGATGGAGTAACGCAAAGAGCAATGGCCCGAGAGAAGAGGGGAGGGGAGGGGAGGGGAGGGGGGATAGTAGAGGATAGGAAAGGCAGCAGAACACAACAGACACTAGTATGGCAATATGTAAATCAATGGATGTGTAACTGATGTGATTCTGCAATCTGTATATGGGGTAAAAATGGGAGCTCATAACCCACTTGAATCAAAGTGTGAAATATGATATGTCAAGAAATTTGTAATGTTTTGAACAACCCACAATAAAAAATTTAAAAAAAAAGATGTTATGTCCACCGAAAACTAAAAAATAAATATTAAAAAATTCAAAAAAAAAAAAAGAGCAATGACTCAGCAGGGAGGTGACAGCGGCCCTCCCCTGGCCTCACCTCAGCAGGCCTCAGGCCTCTACTCTAGAAAGGGCTCAGTCTGCTGGGGCCTAGTACCACCCCCTGTTCAAGTCTGAACAAGCTAGGTCAGTCACTAGGCTCTGCCGCTGGCTCACAGGTGCCCTGAGGCAGGAGACTGAGCTCCTCTGGGCAGCTTAGGGGTCAAGGGGGAAGGCCATCACACCACCTTCCCTCTTTGCAGGACTTCGGGAAGGATTTGGTAAGAGCAGACATGTGAAGTGAGAGATTCAGAAAAAAGTAGCTGCCAACAAATGTTCCTGTGGGTGACACTCACTGCTGCTATAGGCGGGACTCTAGCTGTTGAGTCCCTCAGGGTGGCCACCTACCTGGCGGTAGATTCTGCGCACGAATGTGGCCCGAGCAAAGGCCTGGATGACAATGGCAGCCCTGCGCACCCTCTGGTAAGCCAGGCGGGCTCTCCGCATGCGGTACTGCTTCTGGAGCACCACTGCTGCCCGAGTCCTTCGCAGGTGCTCGGCCAGCCTGTCGGTGGGAGAGGGTGAGTAGCATCAGGGAGAGCACGCTGGCCAGCTGGCACCGAGGCCCCTGAGGTGTCTGCAAAGGAAGCTCCTCCCTACTATGGTCCTACCGGGACAGCTCTCACTGTCCTTCACAAACACAGCACTTAATCCATAGGCTCAGAATTGTAGGGTTCCCTTTCTTCTTGGGGTTCCCAAAAGACTTCCCACCAGCATTGGCCTTGGTCTGAGTCTGACCTCCTCTGTGATCCTTACCCGACTACTCTCAGCTCCTGGGCAGTCCCCTGCAACACACCCTTGGTGCTCCCCATCCTCCATGCATTTACATTGCTGCCTGTGCCTCTCCAGGCTTGGGGATGCCCAGGTTTACATCTCAATCATTCTGCACCCCTAGATCTAGTTCAGGGCCCCCCAAAGCAGGCAGTAAGCAAATATCTGCTGAATGACTGAATCTCCTCAGGCCCCCACCTCTCCTCCCCATTTTCTCATCTCCCTAGGCCCTTTCCCCTGGAAGCCCTATGAGCATCTCTTCTTTCTTTCATCCCTGCATTCCCCATCTCATTTCCCAAATAAAACAGCCAGGTTGATGCCTCCCATCCTTAAGAATCTTATTCTGCTCCAGGCTCACAGCAAGTGTTCAGCCCAAGGTCCACAATGTCCCATGCTAGAAAGATCCTTAGAAATCATTTAGCACAACCTCAGAAGAACCATCCAGGCCAGATGCTCATACTTGGTGAAATGCACAATTCCCTAGTCCAGCTCCCTGTGCTTGCTTTCCTCAGATATGTGCCCCTGGATTACAGGCTTTCTGCAGGGAGAATTCGGGTCAGGTCTGTTACACTCCTGCACATGTGCTCTCTAGCAGAGATGGCTGAGCAGCCACTTGAAACTTTGACTCTCAAACACAAGACTTTGGGGCAATTACTGTTTCTTCTCCAGAGAAAATTCTTAGAGAAGGTGCTGGCAGTGGATCCACCTGTGAAGGCCTGGGGTATCCCAGGAGAGTCTGTAGAGGGGCCTAAGATATAGCTTACAGGAGGCCATGCCTGCCCCAGTGGACAGCAGAAGGGAACAGTGAAAGCAGTTTCCTCTGCGTGGTATCAGGCTGGCATAAATGTTGGGCAGGGGAGCCCAACTGTCATCTTGGCAAAGAGCCACTGTGGTTGGGCAAGTCATACCCTGTCTGTACTGGATCAGTGCAGCAACTCATAAAATGTCCTCCTAGGACCTTCCCAGACTAATTACAAACTCCAAGGATTCCAAAAGTTCCTGGTACACAGAGTGAGGTTACGTGTAAGTGTACTGTGATGGAAAGGGTAGATTCTAGGTGTAAGTTTCTTTTTCTTATTATTTTTACTGTAGGGTTTAGGTAAAGAGGAAGTGATTTGTACAAAAACTAGGTTCTAGGCTGGTGTTGGTGGGATGGGGGCAGTTGGGGGGCACCTGACTTGGGAACTAGACCAAATTCCTGAGGTGAGAAGGCATTAGAGGGATGCTCTCCCACTGGGACAGAGCCCAGGAACAGACAGGGCTCCACAGAACCTGCTTTAATTATGGACAAGAGGTCACCTAGCTGAGAGGCAGTTGCCCTCTTCCCTGCCCCAGATACACCTGGGCTTGCTCACCTGCGGGCCAGGTATCCTCGGCAGTACCTCTGCAGGGTTAAGGTGGCCCTCTTCAACCTGCGGTACTTCACCTTCTGCAGCCAGCCGCGGACGGTTTTCTGGATCATGATGGTGGCTGCTCGGAACTTGTCGGCCCGCAGTTTCTCCAGGTAGGCCACTTGGCCTGCCCGGAAGAAGATCTTGGTGCGGCCAAACTGGAACTTGTCGGGATCCTTCATGGGGAAGGGAGAAGAGCTGGCTGGTCATCAGTGAGCAGTGTGGCAGCCTGCCCCGTGCCACCCAGTTTTTCCCACTAGATCTCAAGTGGCCCTCCAAGGTGGGTGTACACACACAGAGCACTCATTCGACAGACAATGGGTCCACCCTACATCACAGGCGCTGGGCGAGTCACCAGGATGGGCTATAAAGATGCCTGCCTGGAGAAGCATGGGCAACAGAGAAGCCAACAAGCCACTCCCTGCTTTCAGACAGTGATAGGATCAGGGAGAAAGTCAAACAGGGGGTGTTTAAAAATGATGCCGAAGACAGGCCCCTCGGGAGGTGCTCTTTGAGCAAAGATCTGAATGGACTCAAGTGGGCAGCCATAGAGAAGCAGCAAAGAGGAACTCTTCAAAGGAGCAGGGCACATGCTCACACCCTGTGCTGGTAACAACCCAGGCATGTTGAGGAACGAGAGCCAGGACGGCTAAGCATGGGCGCTGAAGGTGGATGGATGTGAGGAACCAGTCATGAAAGGCCTGGCAAGTCTGGTACAAAGTTGGGATGGGAGCCATGTGTTGGGGGTTCTGAGCAAAGCACTGGCCTTATCTGGTCAATGTTTTAAAGGTTATCTTTAAATGGCTGCAGTTGTACACAAATTACAGAGTATAAATAATCGCCAAATAAAACTGGTTTTTGAACATGTAATGACTATCTTAATTATATCTATTAAGTTGAAATTAGTTGCCCTTCCCTGCATTCACCCCAGTGGATGAGAAAAGATGACCAGAGGGCTGTGGATAAACCTGGAGAAGAACACTGAGAAAGTTAATCCATGAAGTCCTGAAGCTCTGCAAATCCACTGCCATCCCACATGCTCACTGGCATGAAGCCCATGGCAAGATGAGGGACTGAGCCAAAGTCTGTGGAGGACACACAAGAATGTGCTTCACACTGGCAAATGGCTCTGAAGGAATGCTGGGCCATCGTTCATGGGCTAATCCCTATGCAGGTGACAGGAATGGGTTCCACGCTGGGAAGGCAGCATTGCTTAGATTGCCTGAGCTTGAGACACAGTTCCAGCTGGGGTATCACTGGTTGTTTTCTCCATGGGCCTGGCTGCAGGTGAGGTGGGGCCTGGGTTGGTTCTCATGCCTGTGTCTGCTTGGGGCCACACCTCCAGTGGGCCTGTAGCTCATACTGAGACACAGGGCTGGATGGGCCAGGAAGCTTCCAGGCAGCAGATGCCATGCTTTGATTGCTACCCTGTGTGGGGAGAGTCCTGCTCAGCAAGAGGGGTCAGAATCGGGGACAAGCTCAGCTACTTGGTTTCAGCAGAATGAGAGAAGGGGGGGTGGTTGCTGAATCCCAGGAAACATAGCATGCATGCTTCATTTGTTATTCTGGAAATAAATAGGAAGGGGTGATTTGGCCTTCACCAACAGGACATTTAGGGGATCCCACCTGCTCCAGTCACCCAGCAGCCTGTTCTTCATACTCTTCTTTCCCCATGCATCTCTAATACACCCAAGTGCCTCTAATCCCCAGAATTTACTATTCTGTTAGCATATTATTGGATCAAACATCTTGTGTTAATTTTTATCTAAGATTCAGACTGAGGGAGCTGAAAACAACCTTAGTGATCCATTCCAAGCCATCCTGTTGCTTCACAGATAAAGCTGCACCTTCCTCACGAGATGAGCCATTACTGCAGGATTCTAATCATGATGGGCTCATCTAGTTAGTCCCGCACAGCCACCAGCGCCAACTCATACTTCCTGTGACAACCAGGAATCATGGTAGGAACACAGCCACAGTAAGAGCCTTGCCATTTTCCCATTTGCAGTCTTGGGAAATGACAGACAAACCTTCAATTGCAACATGAGGGCATAAAGGCAATAAAGCCAGACAGGCATCAAGCACTGCTGGCCCATAGAACATGGAGTAGCTAACTCCCCCCTGAGGCCAGGAATGGACTTCTCAGACCAGGAAGTATCTTGGAGCTCAGTTTGGGAGGAGAACCTGGGCAGGCAGGTAATAGAAAAAGCACTCCAGGCAGAGGAAACAGCATGTACTCATTAATTTGCCTTTAGGCAAGCCATTTGTGTGTTCATCCCACAAATGTTTGGTGGGTTCCCTGTGTCATACCAAGTGCTTGTAAGTAGGGGGGAGCGTCAATGCAGAGACAGTTCCCCTGAAGGGAAGGCTGCATGCACCCGAAACATGGGATAGCAAGGACATGGGCCCCAAGAGTGACATGAAGGGCTATAGGCAAGTGCTGGGTCCAGGACAGCAGGAGAGCAGGGTCAGCCATGAAGCTAAGCACCAGGAAGTGGGCAGGCTACTCCTCATCTGTGAAGAGGCAGCTGTGCCCAGCAAGGCCCAGTGGTCTAAGTGCATCAAGGAGTCAGGCCCCAGGCAGTCCCATTAGCAGGAGGGGAGCATGGTATAGGTGTGTGTCCCTTTAGGAATAAGAGGTTCTGCTAATAACCTTGGAGAAATCCAGGAAAGAGGGAGAGAAGGCAGCTATGACCTGGGGAAGAGAAGGCAGCCACATGGTAGAGGAATCCTTGGCAGTCCTGGACTGCACACTGAGAGGCCAGCTCTGGTACCAGTGAGGAGGAAGACTCCTACCATGTTAACCAAGGTCAGCCGACCCGAACAGATTGATCTCACCCATGAGAAAAGAGATGTTCAAATAGACACTGACAAATGAAACACAGCCAAAACTTCAGCTAACCAGAATCTGACTAAACAACCCTCAATTAACCAGGCTGTTTTCTTTTTTTTTAAAGGGTGGGGGTGGCAAAGGTGAATGGTATTTGGGCTCTATCTTTTAAAAATGGTGCTTAAAACCATATTCATTTAGTACGGTATTCTGCACTGTCTGTCCAAAGATACAAACTTGAGTAGCTAAAATGATGTTAAGATGAATATATTTATGAAATAAAACACAAACTTAACTCCTAATCATATGACGATAAACCATCCCGTGTGAGTAGATTTTCTAGCAAAATACTTGACATTTTTAAAATTTTTGAGGTAATTATTTTACCACCTTTTTAAAAGGAAGATTCTTGACATGATTTAACACTTCAACAAAACATTATCACACTCTTCTAGTGTTTCTGAATTTTCTTGAACTATTGAAATGTTTAACAATTTTCCTCTATTAATTCTCTTTCATAGTTCTCCTGTCTCAACTGTCAGGTGTGATTTCAGGTTATTTAAAAAAAAAACACACACACACAAAAAAAAACACACACAAATTCCTTTACTTTATCTGAAACAAGTATCTGAGGACGATCTGAGGCTGGCTACGCAATGACAAATTAAAACAGCTTTTTCCCTCTGCTGACCTGGGCTCCAGATCTGAGACCCCACCAGGTGTACATGAGCCCAGCTATGGAGGAGCCAGAGACGGCAGCCAGGGGGAGTCTCCTTGTGCCTCCAGTGAGCTGTACCACCAACTACATTTTCCTGTGTACCGAGACATGAAAAGCCTAGCAGATCCTCTCTATGGGTGAAGAGGCCGTTTTTTTCTCCATGTAGGAAAATCCACTAAACATCTCCAACAGGAGTTCCAAGGAGGATGAAGGAAAAAGCAGCAGGTAACCCCCACCCTCTCTTCTCAGGGTCTCCTGGTCATACTCTCCCTGGAGCCCAGCTCACCTTGACGAGGCTCTCCAGGACAGACCTGCAGATGGCCTTCTTGTCTGTGTTGGCAAGCTCCCTCTTCTTCACCAGCACTCGGTACCGATTGAAGAAGTCATGGTAGGTCCACCTGGAGAGCGAGCAAAGGTGTGTCAGGTGACAAGTCCTTGCCTCTGGGCCACATAGGGGTCATGTGTGATCTCAGATGCCATCTCATAAGGTCAAAATCATTCTCATGGGAGCAAAAACCAGTCCCAGGAGAGTTTGGTCCACCTACAGCCCTTTGAGGATTACAGTGTTGTGATTCTTGGAGTTAGGGCTGGAGCACTAGGGGTTAAGAATGCGTCTGGTTAAGTACAAGCAGTGTCTCCACCAAAGCACGTGGAATTCCCTTCCCTGCAACTGCTATCAGAGGCACATGGTCACAGCTTTGCTTTTAGAACATTGGCTTTCTTCTTATAGAATGGACGCTGTTCATTATAAACATTTTTTAATACAGAAAAGTATACACTAGCAAATAACAAGCACCCATGTCCTAATCCCTAGGGATAAATTTATTCATATTTGATCAAGTTTAGGAGGAGACATTTTTCTCCCCAGTTGATTTTGCTCACAATTCCTTTTTTCTCCTTACTATAGTGCCCTATAAAGATAGCACCCAGCACGTCACACAACTGGAGAGACTTATAATCCACTATTTATGCAAGGAAGCAGTGTTGTGTGTTCTGGCAGAGTGTCTTTAAGAGGACCTTAAGTTTGTCCTTCTGCCTCTGATTTCTATATTAATGAATGCAGTCCTCACTATTCCCTTAGCAGGGCCGACTTGCTCATGAGAACAGCCAAGGATCGCAGCATGCCCCCAGCTCAATTCCATAACCATTTTCAGAGATGCTTGCAAGCTTGTAACTGCACACCGAGTCAACCCACTCTTGCCTGGAAGGACAGTCTGTCTATGTCCCTCCAAAAGTCAATACAGTGCACCCCCACCCTTTGCTACATCCTTGTCCCCTGGAGGTGCAGCCAGCCCTGGCTCTCATCTTCAGAGGCATCAAGAGGACTGACATGCCCGGTGTCCAGGGGCACTTGCTGTGTGCACCTCCTCTGGGAGTCAACAGGTGTTGTGCGATTCCATCACTGGGGCCTTGCTAGGGGACCAGCACAGCTCAGGTTGGTTCATTAACACTAAGATGTCACTAGAATGTCAGCAGGTTGTATCCCTTTCCCTGGGGCTCTTGGCCTTTAAAGGGAGTCCTTTGGAGACTCTAGAGAAATGTGCTGCTTAGTGTCAGGACCCCTGAGAACTCTTCTGCTTCAACTCCAGGATCTCATGACAGCCTGGGCCACAAAGGAAAATGCAGGCTGAGCTCCCTGCTCTTTCCCCTCCACCTTCCTCCATCATGGTTACCTTCCTTGGTTTGGTAGAAGATTGCTAACATAGCCGTGGGTCTCTGAGAAGGGGCGAGTAGAAAATAACATTTTTCCTCATCTTTCTAAGCTTTTTTCTTCTATGTAGCATGGTTAGTTAGAGATTGCTTCTTTTAATAAAAGCTTTTGTGAGCTAGCACTTACCATAAAATTTGGCCTTTTAACGTGTCCAATTCAGTAATTTTTAATACATTTGCAGAGTTGTGCAACCATCCCCAGAATTGAATTCCAGAACATTTTCACAACCCCAAAAGGAAATCCCATTGCCCTGGGCCAACCTTGGCAATCCTACTTTGTCTCTATGCCCCTTAGCTTTCAACTGGTTCTGTCACAAATGTAGCACACTAGGAATGAGGGAAGCATTCTGCTTAGAGCTCCTGGGTCTTTCCAAGGCCTGCTCACTGTCCGTGCAGACTACCTTCAGAAGGGAGGGCAGAGGGCACTTAGAGCTCCTGGCCTCTGCTTATGGCCAGGAAAATGCTCCTCCATTCACTGAGCAGAAACTTCCTCACCTTCCAGTTGTGGAGGGACTGAGTCACTGGCCATCTCCAACAGGCACTTTTATTATTGGACACATTGAAGATTATTAACCAGATAAATGCTGCTTCAATTATTTCAATCATGCATAAGTGTCAAGAAAACTCCCAAGTTCTGATTCTTGGATGATTCACTCCAGAGGACTGTGAACCAGACAGCCAGCATTGACAAGTTGCTAACATATGTGTATTTTGTCTTTTAATCATGCAAATGCTACCGTTTCCCTAATCTCTTCCCCAGACTCCCTCCCAGTTTTAGATGTAGACCATTCTCTGATACTTCCACACAGGGAAAGATGGGTTTGGGTGAGAAAGAATAATGCACAAGAGAAAGGGCTTCACAAATCTAGTTCTCCTTGCTGCCCATGACCACCAGTCAACATTCGACTCACTTATGCAGTCTTCACTGGTCAGGGGCTTACCACTTTTTATTTTTGTACTAAGGATTGAACTTGGGGATTTTAATGATGGAGCCACATCCCCAACCTTTATTTTGAGACAGGGTCTCACTAAGTTGCTTGGGATCCAAGTTGCTGAGGTTGGCTTTGAACTTGCCATTCTCCTGCCTCAGCCTCTAGAGTTGCTGGGATTACAGGTTCGCGCCACCATGTGGGCTCTCCCTTCACAGCTGCTGGGCACTTCCCCCATTCTGCATCAGGGTTATTTGTGTACTCACTTCTCTCCCCCTATGAGCTTGCAGTTTTGCTGGGGAAATAATTAAGGCAGCATTTAGCTGGGCCAAAACCCTTAAATGTTTCTAATTTGAAAGTCTTAGTGCCGACAGATCCACAATTCAAGGAAATCATGAGTGTGGGGAGATGTGACTTCAAAGACATCAGGGCCAGTTTGGAATGAGCTTCAAGAATAGAAGTCTGACTCTGACCTTGGCCAGCAGCATGATTGCAGTCCTGGCCCGGAATACCTTACTTCCCTTACCTGCAAGACAAAGGTACCTGCCTGACAAAAACATCTCACTAGCAGCCAATGAGTTCATTACATGGAGTGATGGAAAGCTGCAAAGCTTCCAAAGATCTCAACTGCTCATGCTTCCTGTGTGATCCCTCTCCTCTTCTTGCAAACATGTTGAGAAAAACCCATACCAAGGACAAGGTGTGTGGGTAAAGCTGATGAGAGCACGCCCAACTGTCCACCGAGTATTGTTTTGGGTGGATGTTCCCTCTGGAGGCATCCAAAGGGGCACGCCTCCACTGTATCGGGGCCTAAGGCTTGTAAAAGTGTCATTCTTCACAGGACCCAGAATCAAATACGTGCTCCCAGAGAGAGAACCCTCACCTCATAGGAAAACCTTCAAAGCAAAGCTAAAAAGATTCTGAGTCTTCAAAAATAGAACTCAATGGGACTTTCTGATTAGGTGGGGACCTCTGGGTATAGTTTCACTGTAATAGTATGAAAATGGGGAGATGCCATTCAGAGCCCAGGCCTGCACAGATGAAATCACAGCACACGAGCTCTTCGTGAGCTCTATGGGTCCTAGGGCTTTCTGCCTTCTGTTACACAGACCTATTCACACATAGGTGGCTCCTCTGCTGGTCTCTAGCCTCCAGCCTCCTTAGGCCAGGGTCTCAGACTCCCCAGCACCCACCTGCATGGAATCTTTATATCTAATTGCTTATTCATTTAAAAAGTTTTCTTACTGACCATCAAATGGTCAGACTCCTGACCATTTGAACCTTTTCTCTCTACCAGTGTTGACCGAGGAGGACACTCTTGGCTTTGAGGTGGCAATTCTTCAGTGTCCACAGGATATACAGCTTCTTTGGACCATCATCATTACTCCACCCCTGATCATCAGATGTTAAAAAAAAATCTCATTTACAAAATGTTTGCCATGGAACATTCTTCTAGTCCTAGAAGACTTCTAGAGAACAACCAGCCCCAATTGCCATCTGCCTCCACAGTGGGGATCCTTCTTGCCGTCTTTGCCCTCATCAGGGGAACATGTCCTCTCCTCCCCTCACAGTATGGCTGAGAGTTATCCTTTAATCCACTCCCGTTCCTGGCTGCTCCTACATTCTTTTCCACAGACTGGCAGGAGAAGAGACCCCTCCTGTGTCTATGACAAGGTCCCAGCTGTGCTCAATGAGTCTCAGCAACCACAGGGATGGAATTCTCCCTAGCCTCGCCTGCCCTGGATTCCAGCTCTTCTGCTAGGCGGCCTGGCTGAGCATCCTCAACTTCAGTATTCTCTTGAATAAAAGCCTCCTTCACCTGGTATGCTCTGGCCTGCTGGGGAACAGGTGCCCTCCTGGCCTCAGAGTCACAGGTGGGTGTGTGGGAAAAGCTCAGGGCCTATGACAGCTTCCGGGTTAGACAAGCATTGGTCAGACCCAGTCTGGAAGATTGCCTCCCACAATGAGCTCCTCAGGCTTCAGTGAGGGCAGAGCTGCTTTGCCTGGCACAGTGAACAGCAGCTTGGGGTGATGTTCTAGTTGGCTGAGCTCCCGTCTGGAGCCTCACACTGGATCAACCCGTGGGAACATTTTGCAGAGGACTATGCCTGGCTGAGAGGGCCCCAGTGGACCAGGGCGAACAGTCAGGGTGTAACAGCCATAGCTGTAGAACTTTATATTTCCCTCTTGGGCAGGTTTCCTTGTGTGGGTAGTGGCCGGATTAAACAAACCCCAAGTGTTGCTCCTTGGTATGAGGCTTTAAGTCACAAAAACTTATGACATCAGGCAACAAGAATCCCTAAAGATGTCATTGTGGGTGATACCAAGGGCCCCTTAGAAAACAGTGGAGAGCTCCACCAGGGCTCCCAGGTTGGGATTAGGTAGGTCAACCTATACTCCTGGATACTCATCATGCTGTCATTCATCTTAGGTCAAAGAGTCCTGGTCATGCTGACATGGGATGTGTTTCTTTCCTTCTATACTCTGCACAAATAAAAAATAATTCACAGAATGGGAGAAGAAATTTGGAAGTCCTATGTCTAATATGTAGTTCATATCCAGAATATAGAAAGAACTTACAATTCAACAATGGGCAAATAATCCAATATGGAAAACGGGCAAAGGATTTGAAATACATTTCTCCAAAGACATTATATGACCAGTAAGCGTATGAAAAGATACTTATCATTAACTTTATCATTACACATCTGCTAGAATGTCTATAGTCAAAAGATAGCCAGTGAGTGTTGGTAAAAATG